ATCAAAGAAGAAGCTCACCTCGTCTACTACCGGCCTTACACACATTGGGGTCCCTACGCCGTCGGCATCTTCGCGGGATATCTCATGTTCAAAACTCCCAAGTGGCGAACGAACTCTTTCGTAGCAGTCATGGGCTGGGTCGTCTCTTTGGCGACACAATGGGCAATCATTTACGGTGAGACATCAGCGGTCATGTATCCATTGCGGACCGTCGCGGTCTGCCGATACATGTCCCGGAATATGCCAAAGAAATCTCCTCGTAGCGGCTGATATCTCTGGAGTGATTTTGTGCAGTGTCCGATAAGTTGCGCGATATATTCTATTGTAGGAATTACGCCTTGGCATTCTCACTACGATGACTTGGGACTAGCCCAATACCTATACGCAGCAACCCATCGGACAGCTTGGTCGATCACGGTTGCCTATATCGTCTGGGCAGTCCACTACGGGTATGTCCGTGGACTTTCACGGCTGTTCTAGATGACTCCTTGTTGATCACATCCCATTCAGAAAGAGAATTAACCTCACCGAATCGCAGGTACGGCGGCTTCATCGGACAACTACTCACCTGGAATGCTCTGATACCATTGTCAAGGTGATCTGCTGATCCGAATTCGATCGATAATTCGCAATAGCGGTCGATTTATGTTGGCTTCCGTAAGTTTATCGAGCTGCTATTCTTACCATGGTTCTTTTCTCTACATGTAATAATCCAGGCTAGTGTTCATGACATACCTCGCTCATCCGATCGTGATGTGGTACAAGCGCGGATCAGCGAAAGAACGCTTCTTCCTTCGACATTTCCCAGAAATGGTACGTGCCCACGGGAAGGTCGTGCTTTCGCGACCCTCACCGTCCCTCATCGTCCAAACCAGCGGAGCCCTGGGCATTTTCGAAGTCATGAGTCATGACCGTCGGTATTGGAATTGTTACAGACATGGGAAGTCCTCGGAGACGCTACCTTCTCGTTCGGCTGTGCCTACGCCATGTCCATGCTCTTCGAGATACCGATCATCAACCTGGAAATTAATTCTCAGGCCGATTCTAGGTCTGGATTGTTTCATGTTCTGCTTGGAGCTTCGCTAAACCGTTCTCTTTCGTTCCGAAATGCGATGCGAATGAACGCTAACGCGAGGCTTACTAATCTTGTATTTCAGGGAGGAAAGGCGGTAATCATCGGAGCCAGAACGGTCATTTGGAGAGAAACAAACGAGAGACCGGTGTGGACATCTCGCAGGTCTGTTCAAGGATTCGACATTCGATTAGAAAACGCTTATTGCTTTAGAAAGACCGATAATTTCTTGTAATTGGGTGATGGCCTTCGAAGAAGACGTGACAGCGTAAACGAAAGCGATCCATGCCCCCAGGTGTACCGTCAGGAACATGATATGACCGCCCGCGAATACCAAATGGGAGAAGTCGCGACAACAGGATACCGCCGAACGGGTGCCGACAGACTATAATCGACCCTCCTGAGTAGTTTTACCCCATCCGTATCTTATGGAGAAACATAATAAGTGACGAAGACGACTAACTGCCGCTGATACCAGTCATACAAAGCGAACGTGGAAGGGTATAGAAGAATAAGAGGTCCCCAAAGACCGAACCTGCTCATGAAACACAGAAGTTCTGAACGAGTCTTGTAAATACGAACGCTATATTTTCTAATGAAAAACCTCGTCAAAATGTTTCTCTCGCTCTTTCTTTTTTCAATGAACAAGTTTGTTACGACGCTGAAAGAGATCTCTTTCCGGGTCAGTGAGCAGGCGAATCCCTACTTGCGGCTCGGTCCCATCCAACCCCAGCCGATGTGAAGCACCGGGCGCTGATCAGGGGTTCGGGCCAATTAAACGGGGCCTGCTGTGGGTCCGCTGATCGGTGCGAGAAGGGAAAGTGTCATTGGTTCATCTTTCAGCAAATAATCGATATATTTTTCGCGCGGACCCAGAGAAACGAATGCAACATTGAAACAAAAATTCTACTCCGTGGTCGTGACCGATGCGGGAGCCAGTGAATGCGATCAGTCAATTCCTCCCCGCGGTGCCGTATCACTTCATGTCACTTCTCTTCACGGCTGTCACTCAGAAACGCAACAAGGATACCGACGGAAATCGTCTGAATGGGTCTGCCGGTCTGCAGACGAGTGCTGGTTCTTGGATAGCTCACGAACGCTGGGGAGACACGAATCCTGCGCTGCGACCAAGACGGTTAGAATCATAGGCGATGCCTAGGAAGGCACTTATGTCCTTTCCGAAGTCTTCCAATCGTCACCGAATCGACTGTCTCGAGGTAAGGTTTGAGCTGTCAGGGTTTTCGTGCGAAGTGAGTGTCCCGCGAGAATTCGGAGCTCCGACTGACTCCGAGATGGGTTTTTAAGTCTCGGATCTAATCATGAACATGGCGCGATACACAAAGGTACTCCGAATTCATCTAGGTTTCATTTTCAGACATATGCCCGCTGACGTGCGAAAGATTGTAAGGGGATGATGTCGCAGTAGGATAATGCGCATATCAGTTCAGTGCTGTCGCAAGAATACCATTGCCGACGGGCCGCAGTGCTGACCCCCGGGAAAGTTCCACCTCAAAGATAGGCTGTCATGTTCTCCGTCGTAACATGGACAACATGTGATATCGGATTCGGTTCCAATCAGCAATCAAAGGCAGAATGAAATCACTCGCAAGATTACGATTACGTTCTCAGCGATCGAGTATACGGCGCAAACTACTGATCAGAAACGTGGAGGCCCGGAATTACACATCATCGACACTTGTTGCTGATTCGAGTCAGAACAAACTGATTCATCATCATGATCATTTGGTTATTATCACGGAGGAGGGCTCGGTCAAACCTTGATCCATGCTCATATCCTCCACCTCCTCTTATTGATTCCTTCCCGGACAGCGTAGAAGAAAGCTGCAGGATCCTTGTTCCTACTGTCCATCGAATGAGGGTCTTTCCCCGCTGGGAATCGGGATACGCACGAAGGCATCGTCCATTTTCTCCGCGCCATTTTTCCTTGGAGGAGTCTTCCCGAGAAGAGGTCGAGAAGCATCCTGTTCTTCAAGAATAATCTCCGAAATCCCGTAGCGACCCTTATCCGCGGGAATCGGATCCCATGCTCGTTTCTGATTTTTCGGAATCGGGGGAAGTTGGTCGAAACGACTTCTTCCGATCACAACCATTGGAGGAGGGTTTTCCCCCGGAGTCCCAGCGCAGCACATCCCTCACGGTGTATTTTCTCCGTTTGTGCCGCTGCACCGAATCAGAAATAGCATCAAGGATAAATCGACAGCAAAATATATCGCTAAGCTCGATGCTTTCGATGCGCGAAAACAATTATTTCGATTACGACACGAGGCCCTCCACCAAAAAGACAGCGTCGATGTCCCCAAACGGGCCACGTAGTTACGGGTCGGTGCTGCAACTCTATCTGCGTGGCGACTGAGCTACTGACCGCCACCGAGAGGCACGATTTTGAGCACTTTCTTCAAGCGTCGCAATCCGCGCTGCCCGATCGCCTATGACGATTCTTAAGCGCTCGTTCCGAGAGGATCCTCATCAGACGCCTGTGAGCTGGTCCCAAGCGAAGTTGATCCTGATCCTGTGTAGCCCTTCTGGAACTGCTGAAAGTAACTGTGGGCGCAGATACTCAGCTCGCGGGTCAAATGAAATGACAGAATGCAGGCTACATCGAAGGAAAAATTCAGAGGTAGCAGCAGAGCCACTACCGTGTAGAGGACGTGGAACGTCTCCGGAATGGCCATTCGTAAGACTCGAGCATCGTTATTATTTCTTTAAACTCAGCTCCTACCCGAGCGCAATGGAAATCTACGACCGCATAGGTAAGCAGGGGTGGGTTAGCGATTCTTTCTGAGATATCATGGTTAAACCAAGAACCACTGTCTCTGCGAAAGGTTCATTTGAAATCTGGAGATCCCCAAGAAACCATAGGCGACCGCAGACGTCACAGCTAAGTCCGAATCCATTGTCTAGGAATGATCGTTTGAAGCGAGTCGTGGCTCGTTGCCATGCCTGCGTGTAGGTCGCGCTTCGGGAAGGTCCGATGTCGCTGACATCGGGAGTCACCTCCATCGGACTGACTAGCGCATCAATGCCCATATTTCTTAGATTCGTATGTGGTCGCATTGCTACGGGACTGGCTCACCGTATTCAGTCGACGCGCCCGCCATTGCGCCGTCCTTTCAGCGCCTGTACGAGACCGTTTACAATTACACGGAGTTTTAGTCCGTGAACGAGACTTCCGACGTCTGGAACTGGCTCTTTTAGGTCTCATTATCACTGGTGAAATCTAACTCTTCACCGAAGTTGGGAAAATATCTTCTTTCGAGTGGAAAATATCTTCTTCTGAGTTTTGTTACGCGCGCTCTGGAAATTTGAAATCACCCTCTCCCAAGAGCAGCCATGTTCACAGGAGAATAGGGCGTATAGGGTGTCATTCTTGCCTCCAGGAGTTGATCTGTGTGTGTGGGAATTCCGTAAGAATTATATGAAATTGATGTGCCGTAAATTTGCTATCTAAAGACACCAACCGGGTGTCGATCGGTGTAGAAAGCACGGAGCTGCAAGGCGTCGAAAATGGACAAGTTTCGTCCCACTTTTGGTGAAATACTAGGCCAACCTTTTTAAAGACGTTTCACGTCAAAAAATGAGCTCAAGCGAAGCTAGTGAATTGGAGGTGCTAGCATTATCGTCTCGATGAGCCAATCGGAAGTTGGCAGTCGATCCCGATCCTCTTCCGCGGATCGACTGGAGGGCCGGAGAAGGGATGAATATCCTGTCGAGATCGCTGAAGTAGCCGTCGGACTTCTGAGCTTTTGACTTCGTCGAAGACAAGAATTATCTCCACGAAACCTTTTATTGCTCAAAAGCCAATCGAGCCGTCCCGATCTCCGGCGCGGCGGTGAGACCATCCGCAGAGAGATGTTCTCCTTCCCCATGCGGATCTCACAACTCGAGTTCCAAATAAAAATTTGTCAAGGAGCCTTGATGACGAGACATGCCTCCCTGCCTCTCGTGGAGTCCTCCCGAAACGTCGATTAGGACGTCCCCGTTCTTCCAGGGGGGCACGATTAGAGTTATTATCACGTCGAGCCGTAGCAGAATAGGTGCGTTCCCCAGGTCCATTTTCCGTCGTTTCCGTCCGAGCCGCAGATTTGCCACCTCGTTCCTGCCGACTGCATGCAATCTGTAGTCAAGCCGGGAACGGATCGTCACCCTCGATTCGGGCTTTTCGCATGACTCTCGCATACCACAGGAGTTGGGAGAAGGCCCGCTCCATTTGACGCTCGTAGGTAGCGTCTTCTAAATGGCCGTCCTCGGAAACAGTTTTGTTCACGAGCGGCAGGTTTATCGACGCCTGCAGTGGGATCATGCTCAATTCGGTGCAAAACTGCCGCAGATTCATGGTCGCGCTGACGCCCCCATATTGACCTGTAATGAGGAATCGTAGAATCCGGTCGCGAGCTCAGAATCTCTGAACTCCACATGGGGACGGAGGTAGACTGACATGATGCGTTGTCTCGACCTCTCGAATACCTAATGAATAGTTGACGAAAACCACTGGCTTAGCCGCATAGGATTTGGGCGGGAAGTTGCACATCATCGCGGAGCAAACAGCTGAAATGATCCCAAGTTCCCCTTTTGAGGTCAAGCTCGAGGAGTTCGAGACCACGGTCATTGAATAAAATCCACCACCCGATTCGAATCATCATGACATCGTCAGTCATCATTCTCACTCACGGGGTATCGACCGATTGTATTCACTACAAACGACTATAAAGCCATCAGCATTCTCGATCGTTTCCTGATCCGTAAGAAGATTCTCGGAAGGATTGCTCTGGAAAATGAAAGAAGGGAAGCTGTGCGGAGTCCCGGCTCTGAATGCTTGACAGGCATCTACGCTCCGGAAGGAGACGATCGTCTTCTCTCGGTGTCATTGAGATATCGGATCTCACACTCTGGGTGAGTCTGCTCATCGGCTCGTACTTACAGAGAAATGAACCGGCTCCCTGACTTCAGTCAGATGACTCTTCTCAAGCGGATCTGTGGGAGGAAAGTCTAGGCAATGAAATGTTTCGGCGCTTGACCATGCAACCAGACGCATAACATGACTACGTTGTCGAATGAGTGCAGTGCGAACTCCGAAGATGGAACACTCACCAAAGGTTATCACTTCGATGTCTCCCCACTGCGATATGTAGTTGCGGACCATTTTTGCCACCCTCTCCGCCATGCGACCTGGACGGACACTCCCCACGAAGAGAACGACCTTCATCGGGACCGAGAGTTGCAGCCTCTTGTGTGGAGAAGAATATGTTCATCTTCTGAGGGTACACTTCAGCTCCTCCCCATGGTATCTCTCTTGGTACGTATTGTCTCCTTTTCGTCCACGTCGCGTCAGGATTTCAATAAGTTCATCTCCCAACAACATACACGGACAACAAAATTATTTGGCCAGTCACTCACCGTTCCAGCTGTATCGTTCACCTTCGCGAACCGCGCTCAAGTGGGTCGATGTTTCAAACGCGGAATGAGCCCTCTCATACTCTTATACGTAGCGGGCGCTCGTATCGATCCTGGTGTCACTGCCGGCAATCCGAGAGCTGTGTTGCGAGTGCTACATTGTTTACGATCACCGATTGAGCGTATCTCCCATCTCTGTTCATTGGGGACGGAGCGGATGGGTACAACTCGCATCGGGAAGACGATTTCATTCGGCCGGGAATCTCAAGGAGGTTGCACATCATAACGAGATTCCGAGTGAGCTCAGCACTCCTGGCTAAAGGGAGTTTTGGTGATGTAAAACGATTTCCGAGTAGCCTGTTCCGATGACCGCCAGAGCTCGTTCCATACCTTGCGGAGCTTTTCAGCGCCAAAAGATTTTGAGCGTCTGGACCACTGTTTGACCGCGATCTCTGTGAGTTTCACCGAGAAGACCCAGAAGAGAAACCTGAGGATCTCCCCGAATATTCCGGATATTTGGTCCGAGCGTATTCTGACTGGAGGTCGCAAAAAGGTACCCGCGTAGTAAATTCTCGGGTAGTGGATCTCAAAGCCCGGGTATCGAGTACCCGGTTACCATTTTTCGGGTTCAGGTCGGGTACCGGCGTACCCGGGTAGTGGCGGGTAGAACTCATTCGAAGCGGCTGACCTTGAGATGCGTTGCTGGCCATCTCCGCTTTCGAATGTCATGAAAATGAAATGCGCGGAGTACGGGGACTCTGCTGATCGTCCATGCTGGGATATGACCGGCGTTTGTGCGGGCTCAATGGATTTCGGACATTGCACCAAGAGACTCATCTTTACTTAGACTGAAGAAACTGGGCAAAGACCAAGCTGTGCATTCTTGCTCGATCGATGATTTAGTCGACATTCAAGCTACATTCGGTCCCCAAAGCTGGTCTCTATCAGATCCCTGGGGCTGGCCTCCAACAGGACCCTGGAGCTGGTCTCTGACAGGTCCCTGGAACTGGCCCTCGACTGACTGTCGGGAGGGACCGCCGCCGGATTTCCGAGCTTTCCGTCCGGCCAAGTCGCGAGCTTCGAGCTTGAATGCGGCAATCCTTTACTTCGGGTTCGTAAGCTCTCACCGGCGCCGCTTGATCTCATCGTCCACGGTATGTCTCCGAGCGCGGCAGCCGATTCTGTTGCTCAGCTTGACTCGAAGCCAGGCATGCTTTGGACGCGCTGGTCTTCGGGGAGCAAGTGTCTCCCGGAGTGTCTGTGAGAAACCTAGCGCGTCCAAAGCGTGGCTTCAAGCTTGGCTTCGAAGGAGGAGGACCGGAGACACATTTTGAACCTTCTCCAGAGAGAGGCCCAAGGCTGATTCCATTTGGATTAAGAACTAATTCGACCGATTTTTTAAAAAGCAAATGGCCCCCACTACCCGGGTTTACCACCCGGGTATTTCCCGATTTTCGGGTTTGATAGTGGTAGTGTGGTAGCGGGGTAGTACCCGAAAATTGGTTTTCGGGTTTTTAGTACCCGGGTAGTGGATTCGCTATACCCGGGTAATTGCGACCCCTAACCCTGACTGATGCTCCAGGATAACTCGAAAGCTAGGAATCTTGATCTCAAGCTCCAGTAATGATTGCTGCTGATCTTCACGCGCTCGACGCATCCATCTTCTGTATGTTTTCCGCGAATGTATCATCTGCTCCGCTATCCTAGGAGAGTACTGAAAATCGATAACTCTCATGAGCATATGAATCGTCCGGGAGATCATTCCTCAGCGCGACCGGAATCTGCTGCTGATGAGCGCGATTCCCACCGACTCGGGCGGACGGCGTGCTTGGGTCTGCAGGGCTCTAGCTGGGTGCCACCCTGGTATGCGCAGATCGGAGGGCTCGAGGAGATTCTAGGATTTCATGAACACAGCACGCTCTTGTCTTCCTGCAGGTATTGATTTGTCTTGCTGATACTATGTACAAACCTGCATGCTCACTAGGCTGTGAAATCGTGCGCTGCATGCTTGCCCGGGGGTGGCTACCGGCTGTCGACAGAGTTCTAACGAAGAAGAGAATAAAGGATGTCACTAACATCTATCCTCTCTTTATTGCTCCCACGATGCAAATTGAGCTCGCTTCCGCAATTTTGTCGTCTCGAGCTGTCGGAGAGTCGCGAGCCTGGCGTCACGGTAGATCCTCGGAAGGCGACGGAAGCCGCTCGAGCAGAAATCTCGGTGGATTCCGGACGCTTCAGATACCCGTCGACGAGACTCTCGACCGGGAACGAGCCTGGGCTAGTTACCTACGCGCAAAGATGCGCGACGATTGTCCTCTCATTGAACACGTCAATACTCCTCGTTGAGCTTCCCATGGAGCACATATAGCGGGGGAGTTTCCGTGTAAAGGTTATTTTTTGTAAGGAGCACTTCCCCCTCGGAATCGTCATCTCCTAGCAAAGTCTCTGGAAAGAGCCGGCTTTCGTGACGAATAACCTCTCGTTTCTGAGCTACCGAGCAAAAGGCAGGGCAGAGTTCCCCATTTTCACTCTTTCTGCGCCTCTCATCGTTCTCCGGCAACGAGAATTCTCGACTCAGGGAATCCGTGTTCTGGCATTCGGACGAACCCGTCTTCGAGGGGAGATACGCCCCAGTTGCGGGTTATTGCCGATTCTTAGCTGGAAACGACACGAACAGCCAGTAGACTCCGGGAACACGATAACTCACTACCTATTGATTGTTCGGGCCGAAGAAATAGGAGCGACCCGATGCACGGGAATATCGAGGATCGGCTACCGGCTCACAGCTGAGCGTCGTAGCCGCCGATACGGTCGAGTTCTGAGTAGATCGTACACGGATCGCGCTCCGGCACGACGATGCGGCATTGCTTGAATCTGGTCGGCACCCTCGGTAGGAGTTTTGCCGAGGGCTGCCGTGAGCGAGCCACGATTCCAGCTGCTGGCAAAAAACATTCAGGTCCCAGGCGCGTAATCCGTGATAAGCAAATGCTCAATCGCACAAGATCGTATTTAGAGCGCATGAGTCTTTGTCGGCAATCGCCTTTCAGATAGGACAGGATACAATACGGAATCGTTCCTCCCTTTCAGGACCACTGCATGCGAATGGAGCTAGGATCGAGCCAGGAGATATAAAATAACAAGGGGCTCCCAAGCCCGCCGGCGTTCGGATTGATATCGTCTACTTTTTGGGCACCATCAACACAGAGACTCACATTCATTGACTACGGTACAACATCGTGAATGGGTTGTCCAATTCGTATCCGTATTCGTACGAGGCAGGACATCGTGGACGGGTAGGATGCATTTGTTTGTATCTGAATGATTTTGGCATGCAACTCCCGTTGCGTAACGCCTGTCGTCTGTCCTCGCTCCGTAGATTGGATTCCGCGCGTGAAATTTATACGCGCGAGAATGACATCCGGATATTGCCCGACGAGTCCCGATCACGGTCGAGCTGCCTGCGTCATCTTCGCTGAGGAGCGGTTCCCCCCTCTCCCCCTCCTTCAGGGTGAGCTCCAGGCGTCAATGGAAATTTTGTTCTTCGCTCGAACCGTCGATTGACTCGTCAAGCAGCATACACTCAGCTGTCCAGCCAGTGGTCAGCGACACCCCGGTCATTTTGCAACTGAATCTCAATGGACGCTAGCCGTCGCGTCGTGTACTCATATGGAAATGCGGACTGGACGCCGGTACAGCGAGTACGGCTCCCTCGCACCAGACTACAGGACAGGAAAAAAGAGCGGATATCGTCATGGGCGTCATAAAAATTGCTCGGGCCTCATCCATTCACAATTATTATTCGTTGCCATGCGACTTGTGTGGCGTGTCGCCTGAGGCAGCCCAATACGGTAGAGGTCGGTTCAAAGACTTGAATAAAACAGGTTAGAAAGCTTCGAGTACGAAGGACGCAGCTGTACGGTGTCGCTGCAAAGTCAGCGACCGAAAAACCTCACCAGTGTGACCAGCGGCCTCCACCGCTCCAGATGGTGTAGCGGTCGCGAGATAATTTTTATTCCTAGGCTCCTCGAAACCCCTTCCACCGGAAGCAGCGCCATTACTGACATCCGCTTTCGACGCTTGTCGTTAATTATTGAGACGAATACCGGTACCGTTTCCTTTCTCCTCCGGAATCACTTCAAGCCAGACGACAGGCATCTTTTACGGAGTCGCACTGTAGAACGCGTCCGATTCCAAATCGATCGCGCTTCTGGCGACGATCGACTCCATCCGTGAGCAAGAATTATCGACGCGACCCCGAGCTCTCTTTGTCAACGGGAACTCAGCGTGACCCACCCCGCTTCGGTAAACTGTGTAGGACGGAGAGGAAGGAGACAGGATACGAAATTCGACGATCGGATACGTCCGAAGAGGACTGGATGAACTCCTCGGGAGCCCCGTTGCGTTCCACGGGACGTTGATTGAGAGTTCTCGAGCGGCCTTCGAGGTTTCCGAGTACCCTATTTCAGGCCGTCAAATTGCGGATCAGAAGGATCGCGAGGTCAACTCCCGCACATGGATGGAGAGGACGCCGCACTCGATGAGCTCATCTAGGAGACTCGAGGGATATAGGCTCAAATATTTGATTTATTGAAGATCAGAACTCTAAACGCTGATAGACCAAGAGCTGTCAGAGACAACACCGCACATGTTGACACCTCTGCGGACTCTTCCGAAACCGTTCTCTCCCCAGGTAGTTCCCCAGGAGTTCTTGACGATCCAGAAGTCTTTGCCGTTCTCGGAACCGTAACCGACGACCGAGATGACGTGGTCGACCTGCTTGGAGCAATTGGGGTTGTCGTAGATTCCTCCGCGGTACATCTGGAAGTCCCTGTTCTCTCCAGAGATTGACATGACCAGGGTTCCGTACTGCGCGATGGCCTCAGCCAACTTTTGCTCGTCGTTGGGCTTGACCTCACGGTACTTGAGGTTCCTTCCATAGGTTCCCGTGGATTTCTGGCAGCTGTAGTGGTGATTGGACTGGCCGGATCTGTAGCTGTAGCTGTTCTCGAGGACAACTCCACGCTGGGAGACGAAATCCATAACGACGACTTCGTGACCGCCGTTGCAACCGCTGTTCATCTCTCCTTGATAGTTGTAGGAACAATCGACGATCTGCTGTTCAGCGAGATCCACGATCCTGCCGGTGGACTGAGCGATGGCGGACTCGACGACGCCGAGAACTCCGAAAGAGTAGCAAGATCCGCAGCTCTCTTGGTTCTGGAAGATACGGGAGTTCCCCCAAGTGAGAGGTCGCCTCGTCTTGAATCGTATCCTACGACGTGATATGGGAATTCTCGTAGCTCAAGAAAACCTTGGGAGTGGTGACGATGCCCTTGTCTCTCCAGTCGACGCTGCGAGGAATGGACGGCATCGAAGCCGCGGGGACCTCGGTGAAGTTCCTTCCCTCCATGCTCATGCGCTTCTTACCGAGCATCTTGCTCTTGAACTCGGACGCCGACAAGTCGGAATAGGCGTTGTGTCCGAGCATGTAGCTGACCTCCCCGGCGTGGTAACGAGCATTGTGTTCCTCGATCTCAACGGTAGCCTGGAGGAAGTTGCTCAGACGGAGATCCTCTTCGTGAGCCTCGTAGGTCTTGTCTGAAAGCGAGCCGTGAATCAGTCCTCGGTTCTCTGCTATTTCAGGGAACCAGTCTCGCCTGGGGCTCCTTGACGTCCGGACTCACCATGCTGAGCCTTGAAAGCAGACCACTTGGCCTGAACCACTCCGGGATCCGCGCGAGCGGCAGCGACGAGCAGACAAGCGACGATAAAGGGCTTCATGTCGAATGGAAAATCATGGACCCGACTCGGGCTTTTAACGCTTTGGAATCATTGTATAACAGACATCTCAGCGAGCTGTTTGACTGATCATCGATTGTGTCTGGCTCAGCGGGAAAGCCGGTCGCCCGCCCGCCTCGAGCTCGCTGAACGTTGTCGGTCCGTGCCTCGGCTGCCTCGATCGTCGATATCAGTGAGCTTTGGACGCTTGCCTCCGCTTCTACGGATCCGAAAAGGAGCATCGCACGTTCGAGGGATACATCTACGCCTCGATATATCCCATTCAAATTCTCCAATCATTGTTGTTTGCTCGCCATCCGGAGCGAATGATTCTCCGATGACCATGTGGATCAGAATGCATCAGATGTACCGCCCACTTCTACTAGGGCGTTACTCGACTGTCGAGCGAATGCATCATACATCAGAAGAATTTCTTCTTCTCGTGCTGTTTTTCCTGCCAGGTCGGGTGGCGGGGGGAATTCCCGAACTTGGCGTCGAGTAGCGCGAGGAGCGGACACACGACGAAGAAATGCCCATTGCGCGAGCAGCCGACAGCTTACTTCTGCTACTACCGCCAAGTCTGAGTACTAACTCCAGGGCCTCAAATGTCCGTCTGATTCGAGAGGTCGTTCATGAAGTTCCAAGATACGAGGTATTCCTCGATGTAGTTCAGCTTTACGCGAAGCATGGTCGAGCGAGTCACTCGACGATGAGCTCGACACCAGCCCTCCCTTGGGAGGATGCTCTCCGAGTAAATCGCAGCATGAGAAGACCTCATACCGAAATTAGTGATAAGGGAATAATTTCGCATGCAAAAACGTTCAGAGGCCGAGAGGCTCCCCATTCGATGGACTTTACAGGAGCGGAAGAAAGGCCGCATTTCCAACGTTCGCCCCGCTCAGCCTTGACGGCATTCGAAAAATCGTCTGTTTAGGCCTGGAATGCAGCTTCTAGAAGATCTCTCATTGTTCCTCCGCGACGAAGTTTGATAGGTCTCTCCTGAAACCTCCGTTTACCAGCAGGTTTTTCTGTCGGAACTGCCATCGATGAAATTCCACACTCCAGCATTATCCATTTTCTAGGCATCGTTCAAAAAGTGAGGAGTTGAGGTCTGCATAGCGGCAGATTTAGGGGCGATTCGATGCACTGTATAAGAACGAGGAGAGGAGCATTCGCTGAAAAATATTGGAATGACCTCGGTGACGCTGCCCGCTGACTCAAGCTGTCACCGCCCCTGTTGGCCTAAGGCAAATTGAAAAATGTTTCAACAGCGCATTTTATCCTACCAAGCCAGCCAGCCAACAAGCAAGCGAGCCAGTCGGTCGCTCGCTCGCAGGATATGCTCGATCATGGTGACGTCTTCGGATGTCTGGTGAGTATCTTTTGATGGCTCATTTGCATGGCGTAGGGTTTCTCCTTCCCCTGCGCAGACGTTCGAAGAAACGGTCGGAAGGAATAGTTGGCCAGCCTCTTCAGCTCGGTGCCTCGACGGGACCCGCGCTCGCCAGCTCCCTCGTCCGTTAGTTACATGGGAAGAGTGTCTCTCCCTCCGAATGGAGCCGCTCAGACTAAACCTGATGGTGTCGTGTTGCGCCTGAATACTCCCACACGTATGAGCCGATGCGGGGACCTTTCTGAATCCTGAATGACGTATGTTGGAGCAGAAAAACGAGTCAGGATCTCTTTCGGGCGGAGTTACGTTCGGAGCAGATCCTGCTCTTTGAGTCAGTGCGTCTACAATGTGGGCGTATGAGTGAAAATGTTGTCGGCCATCTGTTGTGATCCAGTTGTTTGATACGTGCAGCACGAAGAGGAAATTTATAGCTAGGCCTGCATGGCGAGCGTCGGCTCCTTTAGATGATTTACTTGAGATCCGGGCGACGTCTCACTTAACAAATACATACACCCTTCATCATGCGGCACCGGGAGCAGATGCAATTAATAATGGGGAGCTGCTGGACGTGGACGCATAAAGTCTTCGGTAGTCGTAGGAAGTCCCCTCTGCAGCGACTAGTGTCTAGCGACTGCTGGGAAGGGACGACATTGTCAGCTCGGGATAGACACTGAGGAAATACTCGTCGGAGGATCCACGCTGCGTTTCGCCTCCAACTGTTCCTCGAGGACAGTCATTGTGGGACTCCCGTCAAGGAGATGACGAGTTGTCCAGCTTTTTTTAACCGTGCCGTAAATGAAACACAAACGGAAGTGAGAGGCTCTCAACGAAGTGAGTCCAACAACGTCGAGGATGAATCGCAACACCGGCTTTGGACGTTGCTTGGTCGCCAAGACGTTTAAGTGACGCCAGGACGCCGCCTGAAGTTGCCGCTGCAGCGGACGGCGTCGACGACGAGATGTGCGAGCAGAAATGAGCGAACAAGGAGAGGGGAAAGCGAGTGACGACGGTGACGAGGAGGCATAGATCATTGTCCTCGGCAGTCCGTGAGTGATGCCAAGAGGAGGAAGAGACGGCGGTGTCTTTTTGCCTGGCGTTTCCGTCATATATCTTCTTCCATTTTTAGCGACTGCACGGCTATCCTTCATTAACTTCAGAGCCGTTCGCTTCCCAGCCCCGACGAATGCCGCGAGAAGAACAGCAGAGATAAAACTTTTTTCCCTCCGAAGACATCTACGGATATGGTGCATTTTTTCCCCGCCTGCGTCATCTTACGCCGTAAGAACGAAGGAGGTTAGCCCTCGGAGCTACACACATTAAGCGGAATCTGCCGACATTCACTGCGCTTCTCTCGGGGCCATGTACCTTCTCCACGAATCCCTACGACACTCGGAGACAAATCGCAGTTCACGCGTGAAATCCTCGAGTGAAGCGTGTTTGTTCTGAATGCTGTGCATATCTCGCTCGGTGTGTTCCGCCCTCCCCGATTCAGACTTGTTGCTTCCCTGGGTTTGTTTGCGTCCGGCAACCCGATTCGCCTTCGCTACCACCGCTAGGAAGAGTATTGACACGATTTTTATTAAAGGGCCAGATTCGCTATTGAAGCATTTTTCAATATGTGTCCAACGTCTGTGACGTTCATCCTCGCTCTAGGAATTCTCGACTCGGCGGGAACTCAGCATGAGATTCAGAAAGTTTACTCTTTCGACGCCTCCGAGATTATTGGGTTCTTCATGAATCTCCCATCAGAGGAGTAGACTTAATCTGATACTCGCATCAACGCATCGCTCTGGAAACGATATCGACCTTTGACCCCATCGTCGCAGGAGCTCTCGGGATCGGGTACAGGAGCGGATCCGCGCAGATCTCTGAGCTCATTCGTCCCGGAGGACGACTGGAGAAATGGGTCAGGCTTACGGGTAAGAATTTCCTAGGGCTGACGACGACCCGAGAGGCCAATGAGGACGACAATTTTCAGGAGCAGCTCCAGGATACACCCCAATTCTTCCCCAATTTTCATGTGCATTGATTCCGTACAGCTCGACGGTGATCCCCTTGACTGTGAGCATCGGGCTCATGGAATTCTGTTGGCCACTTAGCTGCTCCCCCTTGCGCTCAGGTATCTGTCGGGTAAGTGTCTATAGATCGGACAGGGTGAAGCCTGCTCTTAGGCAGTAATTGGGAAAACACACCGGAATTCTGTAACAAACACGGAAGGCACGTGTACATGGGCATGCAAATCTGCTACATGTGGGCATGGGTCTGCACCGGAGCCGATCATGACCATCAGACATGCGAGGGAAGAGAAATTAAGAATTTTCAAGGCTTTTCAATTTATTTGAGGAATTCCTCGACTTTCCCTTGTAAGTTTCGTCTGGATATCCCGGCTGGACTCTCTCGCTGACTATGCGTCGAGTCTCACGAAGCTCGGATGAGCGAGCGCTGGGAGGCTCTCCATCGTTATTTTAGAGCCGGAGCGATTCTTCCTCCTCTGGGAAGGCTCTCATGATCTCTGTGAGGTTTGAGCCCGGGTTTTTTTCTTTGTTTACAGATGACTTTTGTTCCGTTTACGTATCTGGCTAGAGTTCCCTTCATTGTACAAGCTGCACCTCTCCGTTCCATAGTAAATATCACAATTCACACATCACATTCAAGTTCACCGATCCGATGACGAACGCAAGAAGAATTCCCCGTGTGCTAATCGAAATACTGACATTCCTCATGTACCCGTTGAGTGATCCCTCGATACCCTCTCTAAGGGCAAGTTCTAGAAATGCTCATTCTCCGGCTATCGTCACGCGGATCGCTTCATTCAAGCGTCGCTCTTGAATCTACCGAATACACATTCTTCATCGTCTAGAAAATAAGTTCTACAGCACTCTTGCGCTCATGTACAAATCGCACAGAAGATTTACAGAGTCTATCTAGCCCATTCGCTAGCATCATTCAGACAGTCGCGCTTTGTGCTCGTTGCCCCCATCCCTGGAAGGGGAGTCTTAGCCAAATTCCACACTATATAGGAAATTCGAGTGGATGAAAGTCAATGTCTCTGAATGGAGTCAATTCGAGACTCCTTCTCGTGTTTACAGATAATGTATGACCTAAAGTGGCAGTTGAGTATTTCGGATTCCCAGCATCGTTGCCAGTTCTCAATAGGTGACTCAAAAATTGGATATATGATTCGGCAGTTTTCTCTTGGTATCGCCTTAATTCTTCGAGGACACTCGACCCCTTCGTAATGAATAGTGAGATGATTTGCATATCGTTCCACAACTTGGGACCCGGATCTTTCCTGGTCCCGGCTCTACCATCGACTAGCATCGGAAGAAGTCTGGCCATCGGAGACGGGTAAGACTCCCCGCTGGAACGAGACTCCTCGTTGATGCGGTGCAGGTGACATGGACTGGGTGGAGAGCTCTAGATTAGGTCCCTCGAATCGGATTCGGAACCTATCGGCTCGATCCTAGAAATTATTCTGTTCCCGAAAGCGACTACACGGTTGAAGTGACTTCTTCGATTGGCGTCATGGCCGGCTGCCACTGATGCAGATGGCCGAAAGAGCCTTGAGGACGTTTATCCTTTACTGGAGATTCCGGCGACGGACTCAAATCCTCATCGAAGGGTTCGCATTCACAGCAATCCGAGAGAAGTATTGTGGGATCCACCTGAATAGAGCACCGAGAAACTTCTTTAGACTAACGACCGAGCCGGGACCGCTCGGAACGCCTCATTGATTCCCGAATCGATGTTCGGGTTGCACTCGACATACCATTTCAACGAGACCCTCTTCCGATATACACGTGAGGAGCTCTGGTCGTTTGCCTATTTCGTTGAAATCGTCATTGTCCTCGAAATCACTGATTTGCGCGTTGAGCAGATCAACTGAAGTGGCCCACGAAACCGTTCTTTGAAGCCGGTCCAAACGCTGGCGACACGAAACGCATTCTTCCGCTGCAAGTAAATCAGGCCATCTAGGAGGTCTGAGGAGTGAAATGCCTAGACATGATGACGCTAATCTCCGAAAAAAAAAGCAGACGAAGAGAAGAACGGAGATCAATGTTCCCTTTGGAAAGATCAGGCGTTTCCGAACCGAATAGCGACGAAGGGGAGTATAATCAAATTGCGTACCCGTCTGCGATATGGGGGCGCCTGACACTACTGCTCCCCAACCCCGTATCTAACATATTCCCTCTCTCCCAGGGTTTCCGGAGCTCGCTTCCTGGGGGAGGCAGTTACTGGAATTCCCGGTTGCTTGTGACTTGCCTTCAGGTGGCCCGTTCATTCCAGAGCCCGACGCAACTGGTCCCGCTGACAGCGATATCCCGACCGGGGTGTGGGGCCTCTCTCTGAACCTCGCACTCCCGTTTCCAGATGATGTACTGCCGAGCGCGTTCTGTACAGCTCCTGCTCCGACTCCTGTACCGGCGTTCCCCACGTTGACGTTTTGAGATGCTTTTCTCCTTGATGCGCTCGAGTTATTGCGAATACTACTTCCCGAAAGACTGCACGTATGCCAACTGCTCGACAAGCTACCGTTCCTGAAACACGAGCGCATTATTCCTGCGCGACCGTTTCCTCTTGAGACTGCTGCCATTGTCTCTTATGCACCCGAGAGACAAGAGAAAAAGTACCTAGTACATGGGCAGACGAGCAAGAAGGACAGAGCGAGACTTGGCTCCAACCTCGGGAGCTTTACCTCATGTGCCCCACGAAAGGTCAGAATGAAGTACATATTATGCCTATTATAGATTCAAGGGTCACCGGGAGACTCCGTTGCCACCCGCCTGTCAAACACGCCGACAGGCAAATACGCTTTCTTCGTGGATCTCAAAGGATGCGGCATTCCCGGAAACAAAATCAACAAACCTCTGAAACGGATCGGCATATACGATTCTACAGGCTGCCCGATGCGATACGGGCAGGGCGAACAGCAGAAGGCACGCGAGCAGAGCGCAGCCCGAGGACACGTAAAACGCCGCGCGGAAGTCCCACAGCGTGGCTCCCGGAAGAGCGATTCCAGGACCTGCGGGTCCTACGGCGGACGAATCCGAAATGAATTCTGCGCAAGGAAATCGGTTATTTGACCACAGACTTTATATCTGTCACTCCTCTCACGACTATTCGGCTGACTATCGAATCTCAACCTGAAATAAATTGCCTGTTGATGAACTTGCTGAGTTTTTACTCACGCGTTATCGGCACGATGAGCACGATAGGTAGACTCATGGCCCAATGCACGAAACCCCACGCCCTCGAGAAGTGCCTTGCCCGTAGACGTTCGAAAACTAATAGTTTCAGAGAGTAGCTTAGACCTCCTGACAGGGCTCCGCATAAGACTGCGAGTAACGAAAGACCTCGGAAGCCCCCAAGAGCCAGCGGAGATACACAAGAGAAGCTTAAACCGAGTAGGCCGGCCTGAAAACGGAAAGTAGCCTCAGCTCCATCAGTCATTGTGTCATTCAATGACTTAGCAGCTCGATAGACTCGATCCACGTCTAAACAGCTTAATACCAAGCCCACCTGTGATAGGTATCTTCTGCCGACATAGCAATCGTCGCTATTCCCCACGACCAGCATGCCAAATAAACAGCTGCCGAACGCGTGCGCTAATCCCACAATGGTTTGCAGTAAATACGAGTCTACAACTCCAGCTCCGCCGTCCTCATTGTCCGCCAGAGGAACCTGGAACAGAATTTCATTTGACATTCGTGGCGAGTTCAGCTGGTGAACGAAGCGACGTGAGATCATAGGCTAGACAACCTCCCGAGCGTGTTTTACGCAGGAGAATAAGCTCGTTTGATATGTGCCGCTGCTTCCACCTGTGAGCCTCCAGCAGCCGACGCCGCAGCGACCCGAGTCGTCGTTGTTTCAGGATTCGTTTGGAATAGTGGGAACGGCCGTGCACTGCTCATAACAGCTGCGCTGTTGGGGGCAATTGTACAGCGCCGTCGACGAGAAACAGAAGGGAGGAGTTCGTCCAAATGGGACAACGACAGCATTTCGACTCAGTCACTACTCAACAAAATATACGACTGGCTGAGTGAGAGGATTGTATGACGACCTTGCAACCATCCGGTGTCATCGATGCCCGGATTCTGCTCGTGATAAACATCGATTTGGTCACCCGCCCCTTTCGCTGGTTCCTTGCAGATATCGATGCGTCGACATATATATGTACCTATGTGATCGGCTCGCTCAATCGTGATCGGATTCGACTCGAATCACGATGAGAAATCGTGCGTTTTCAAATTGCGTGGGGATTTTTAAGCATGACTATTCCACAGAAAATGAATAAAGATGGAGAAGGCTTCGAAATGAAACAGTCGGTTATGAAGTGTGGTCGTCGGCTGCGACGAGTGTGAACAAAGGTAGAGGGAACTCACAATGAACAGGAAAGGCGTGTAGATGGCGAAGGATGCCATAAAACAGACTGCCATGAGGACTTTGACAGTCTTGGTTCGAAGGGTGGAGAATTCGAAGAATGGAGCTTTCTGTGTTGTTGGATTCTTCTCCTTGATCTTCCGTCGCTGGAAATACAAATCGTCTCCATGTTATTGCTGAAACCTCCCATGCTCATCGACGCCGAGCTGCCACCATTTTTCCAGCTGTTTGCGAAAAGATCTGAAACATGTGCCGTTTTCTCTCGGATTAATCACTTAAAAACGATTAGTAGGAGCTATTCGTATGCGAAGCGCGAGGATCGGGAATACCCACTTCATCCGACGCGTCCTCTGACAAATTGCTCGTCGTCAGTTTTTTCCGAGGACTAGATTCCATTCTAACTCGCTTTATTCTGCCCGGGATGAGCCACCGTATCTCGCAGCGAAGTCTCAACCCAGGAGAGAAGCCCGAGCAAAGGCTCCCGATTCAAGGAACATTATTCAAAAAGCTCACTAGGTTGCCCGAGGTCTCGCTCGTGTTCAGTCTCAATCATTCACAGCTCTTTTGTAGACTCGCATATCACCTCTCATGGCATCATGTCTATTTCGAGCCGCGGCCCGAGCTCTCGAGTCGGAAGGCGACATGCTCTCCGTCTGGTGATTTCCACCGAAAAAAGCCCGGTTGGTCCGCGAAGAATTATTCGCCCTCTTCATACCGCTCTCGATCAGAGACCACGACAATCCCCGAGTCGGCAATCAAGCGCTTTCGAACTTTCAACTAATTTATGGACTCCTCGATGAGTCGCCGCGCCGTTCCCCGGGAAATAGCGCAGCGCAGCGGGGCTCGATGCCAAGAAATTCGTATTTTTAGGTCCGATTCTAAGGGTCAGAGCGTGAGTTATGAAACATCGTCAAACAGGTCACAAGGCTGTTGGGTGTTCGAGGATATTTAGCATGACATCAGGTGATCTACAGTACTTCCCCTTCAACAGCCGGCGTGTTACCCTCGCGAGGAGATCTCGTTTGTAAGGATCTTGAAGCATGAATCTTTTTCACGTAGGCGAGTAAACTGTCTGTCTAGACGCACGGACCAGGTTTGAGTTAGACGCATATCTGCCCGAGCAGCAGTTCAAAAAGCTATCGATGAGAGAAGACAGAGCACTAATGCTCTCACGGGGAGAAAACCTCTTGAGAATTCGCAGACTGAGTCACCGAAGAATTCTGATCTGCGCGGCATCGAAGCCCGTAGTCAGCTATTCCGCCTCCCAGACAGCAAGATGCTGTCATGATGTCTGTGAGAGATGCATCGGCTGCAGACCGGAGGAAGAAGAGTAGTCTTCTTGATTTATTGCAATGTATCTTCGATACGGCTCTCCGGAGAAGGAAATGGCCAATACCAATTCATAAGAATCGCCTGTTCATATTGAGAACGAGTTCATCCAGACCAGGCCCTCGTTGGAGCACTTTGTCGGGCCGAAAATTGCGTTGGACACATTGATAGGTCTGAGGGCGCACCCCATTCTCATTGCAGACAATTTAATCAATGATTCCCACGAGCTGATAGAGTTCGACGGTCCTTGGCGTCTCAGAGCGTCCGGGAGGTCCGTTGAACTCAACCTCAGATTTTCACTCTGAAGCATTATGCCCGAATCTGGAACAATCCTGGATCCTCCATTCGTTCGTTCCGGGCATTCAATCGTTCGACGAAATTAAACGACTGGGGGGATCAATCTAAAGCGATTTCCTCGCCCCCCCCCCGCCAATTTTTCGGAATCTCTTCAGCCTGAGGCTGATACGATAAGATTTAGCACCCGCTGAGAAGAGTAGTTCACTATTGAATTCCTCCTCACGTCCTCGGGGAAGAATAATTTCTAACTGACCAATTCGGATAAGGGAGGGTTCGTTCATCTTTCGGCGTCGGGAACCCCAGATTTCAGCGAACTCGAGTCCAAGTGAGCTCGAAAAATAATATTGCACCTGCGAGTTCAAATAATTAGAATCTCATTCCGGCGAAACCGAGGTGGGAGTCCTGCCGAATTCCATATTATGGTCACTCGAAGCGCAGCTGCAACGCGTTCGAGCTCGCATGGCACCGTCCTGGATTCGAGCCCGAGCTGTGTCTCGGGTGAGCTTACCTGGTTCTTGAGGTGAACTATGGCTCTTCGCTGCGGATGATAAAGCGAAGCGGGACGGTAAAGCATCCCGATGATGAATAGAGATGACAGGAGTCCTGTTGTCGCTTGAAGTCCGAACCTCCAATTGAGTTTACTGCAATGTGCAATCAGTGAGACCATTACGAACAACACCGAATTTTTGGTTTGAAGCAGTTCGTCTCGGGAAATCGCTGAAATTCCACGAGTTGTTCTCGGCTAATTTAGGGTACATGAAGAATGCTCGAGGTTGTGCGAGGGGATCATCAAGCAAATGTCACTTAAGCTAAAGGTCCTAATCACGCAGGAGCCACGCATCGGTTCAGCCCTTATATACATATATTTTGGTCGATCTCCGCAGAAAAATTGAGCATCTTGTAGATGGTGGACTGTCGCTGCGGGAAGAGGCAGAGCCACTTCTTCCAGATGCATTACATAGCGTGTCGGGGTCGGTACGCTCACGGAAAAGAAAAACACGGCCCTAGTGGTGCCCGCTCGCGCGCACAATCTTTTTTCTACTCTCAGTATCTTCTTGAGCTCCTGCTCTGGTCGATGTCTCCTACTCTCCCTCATGCTTGCTCTCTCAGCTTTCCACTAGGCTCTTTGAGCACAAGGGCAGTATCTGTTGTAATCTCAACGATCTGTCTTAGCTGAGCAGATCGTTAGTTCTGCACAGCTGATACGAGTTGCTCATAATTTATAACATGTTCGCCTCATAAGAAGCTTCATTGGCCTAGGTCGGAGCTTTCTCGCAGCTAGTAGTAGCAATTTTCTCTGTATTAGTGAAAGGATGGCGTTGTGCGCGCAGGGACGATCGCGAATGAGCTCGAGACAGCGATAAGCCGACGGAGGCGGAATTCATGATCGGACCAGTGTCTGAAGGGATTCCAGAAGAAATCCACAAATGTTTGCCAGTGCTCTCATCTTAGCCGTAAGCCGCGGGAGTCCCTCAAGCCTCGTTAGAGAGCGAACCCGAATCTCGGGAGCGGCTGACTGGGCTCTGACTGGTACTGATTAATCTGGAACAAGACAATCGTAATGCATTCATGACTTCACCAACCTGAGTACGTGATGTAGAAAATGATTAAATAGCGCTACTCCGATTCCGGTTCCCATGAGGCAAACTAGCTCGACTGATTCTCTTCTTCGTTTGAAATACGATCCGACCATTATATTAGCGGCTTCGCGGACGATCCCAAGTCCGATGCCCACAACTGCGAAAGATGGAGGAAGAAGCGTAAGAATAAGATCTGGTGACTGGCCGCATTCGGATGCACTGCTTCCACCGACAGCGTCTTCTGTGAGAGTGGCGACACCATCGAATATCATCTTTACCGCAATCGGATCAGATGTTTCATCGAGCAATTTTCGTTCGGGTTATTATCGCGTTTCCTTATGACGACGGTAGCCGCGAGCAGAAAGCGGAGGAACATATGTATATTGCGGATGGAAATCGAATTCATTGTCCCCGGTATTCGCTGAGTTTGAGCCACGCTTGGAAGCAGCGTCGTTTCACGAAGACATCATTCTGGCAGCGGGACATCTGTCTTGTCAGGCAGAATTAGCTTCATATAATGGATAGAACAGATTGAACTCTCGAGCCAGTGAGCGATTATACGCATTAAGGGACTGACAGCGAGCAACCGCACACAAACACGCGGTAGGGAACTCTGAGCCTCGGCCCACGCGTGTTTGTTCAAGTAAGCGTTAATAAGCATGGAACGTCCTCTGCGCGAAACGGAGACAACGGACGACAAGCGCGACATCAGAATGTTGATCCGCAGAAGCACTCACCGAAACACCACGACACGAAGATTTGGTGAAATTGAGTCGTGAACGATGTGAAGAGGCAGCCCAGCGTCGAGATAAGTCCGCCCATGATCGCGGTCACTCGCGGCGACTTTTTACGACAAGTCGCCACGATGATCGGACTCATGAATGTCGACAATGCCAGTGAAATCGCCCCGGGATAGACTGTGAAGACAAGGAAGATTATTAGATCGTTCAACAAGGACGAGCTGTCGACAAATACCACGCTTCGGAGACCCGAAACTAGGATCCGCAACCACAGACACTCTTCTTGGAACCGATTCGCTCGAGTAATCGATGTGGGCTGTGGTTCCGGAAAATAAGGTTGCTCCTATCACGTCTACGTCGTCTACAGATTTCGTTTTTCCATACCTAGATCGTCAAACAGACGGCTCCGCAACTCAGCCTCGAAGATTACCCAAATCATGAGGGATTTGCTGACTTTCCCCCCTCTCGGCGGTGAAGTCGAGAAAACATCCTGTTGACTGGGCTAAGATTCGGGCTTGCGTTGCTGCTGTCGATTTTGTGCCGCTGGCCTATGGGCCCCTACCGAATATCCTCTATAATTAATCCACCCTACCACGCTAAGAATAATGGGTCTAATGCCTCCCCCCCCCCCCGAGCGATGCGTGGCTCCAATGCAAATAGGGTTCTGCATGCTTCGATAACTACCGGACTCTCTAATAGACGCAAGGAGGAACAAGGACAGGATATTGATAGCGTGAGAGTGCACGTTGGGATGATTTTACAATGCTCTCCCGGAGCTGATCGATGAGGCAAGTCACATTCCGTCGATTGCCTCTCCGCAAGTTTCAGCTGACGGTGTACTCATGTAGCTGAAGATGAAGCCTTTCAGGCTCCATCGGGGATGTCAGCGCCCCCAACTTCGCAGAATTCGGTGGAGCATTTTCCGTCTCGCATGCGAGGAGCCAGAGGATTGGAAACTCCATTCTCTCCTCCCAGCACTCGGGCTCTTTACGAAGAAAGGCTTTTCTGTGGTATCTGGGATTCCCGTTCCGAAAGGCGCATATGACTCCGTGGAGCGACTCTCTCCCGCCTTGAGGAAATGCTGCTCCTATGGGAGCGGGCGTCTCAGGCGTAGGTCCCCGTCAGGCTGCTCCCGTCAGGGAACCCGAAACGGTTTTCATCAGAACTTCTATGGGGAAGGCTTCATTCGCGCTGCCGCCGGACCTATTGTGATCCTAGCCGGGAATTTCCGGATTTTGAGATCTGTCCTCGGCCTCCATTTCTCTCCGGTCATGCCAGGAGTGTCGAATGGACGGCTCCACGGCTCAGCTCACAAGAGTACTCAAAATGATTACCCACGATGCTCCTAGTCGTACGCCCGCTTTCCACGAGTCGTCGAACTCAAACTCCGGCTTCGAGTTGTAATACCTCGACTCGAGACAGATGTGATCCATGCTGAACTGCAAGCGGAGGAGCGAGAGACTGATGCTAAATTTTGTTTGTCGTCTCTACGAACGGACAACAAAACCGAGCAATAGCTGGTCGAGCGGGCCTGGGAAATCCCGGTTTATAAGCATGATGATAAAACCACAACAACGAGCGATCAATAAAATCTTTGTAAAAGTGTTTTGATTCTGAAGACTTGTTCCTCTTCATCTACTGGGCTATCTGTGTCGACGCGACGGATCGGGTCGACAAGACTTTCTCAGCCGGTGTCGGCCGTCCGGAGGAGAGCTCAATCGCGCCGAGTTCTGAGCAAAGCAAGCAAGCAACCATCCATCCGAAATCCGATATCATTCTCAATTGAAGCGAATAGGGGGCCCATCAAGCTGGTTTCCGCAGGTTCCGAGTTTTTATGGCGTCCAGATCGAAGGCCCAGGAGCAGTTTGCTGGAGTCCGGCTTCTGGCGGCGCGCAGTCACTCCATGAACTCCGAGAAGCATGCACTCCGACCTTTTAATCTGAAGCGTACCCGATGGGCGGTAGCGTATAGGACAAAAACGCGACGAAAGATAATGCGGGACCTGTGGATCGATGGACTACGCAGTTTTATGCACGAATGGGCTCCTGCCCAAAGATGCAAAACACGTATATAACCTCCGCATCCGTTGTAGCTGGCTAGCGTTCACAGTATGAAGGATGGCTTCATAAATATCGTACTAGGACGAGACCGCGGTCGTCTACGAGGCCGATTACACACGTGCAGGAGCGCGAGCGCGTTCAGGGAAGCCGCCGTGTTATCGCGCACCGTCTTGGTTCCGAGCTGGCGATGAGCGGGAGAATTGATTTTCGAAACTGGCTCCGAAAAAGCGCCCACGAACGAGGGCGGAATCGAAGCGAGCCAGAGCGGCCAGCATCGAGTCGGAAATGGAGTTTCGTTCCGCACAGAAAGTGCAAATGGAGTTCTGCGGATCGAGCCGACGGCGGTTAGCTCCACGATCCATTAATTTTAGCTTCCTGATCACGGAGGTGACATAATTGAACGAAAGGTGTTGCCAAATCGTTGTTACAGAACGAGGATTTATTGATGCTCTTCCGATGATTTACATACGTTCCGGCCCGCATGAGGGACAGACTTGAGGAAAGTTCCTCCAAATGAAATCACTCAGCCGAGCTCCCAGTGAATCATGGGCAGGAGCTGTTCTGCTACACCGACCCCTATATACCTCCTACTTGTGCTCACAAGGAGGGGAGGTCTGCGCGGAACATCCGACGGGCGAAGAAGAAAAATGAGCGAGCGGTATCCGACGAGTACATGGAATTTCTGTTCCGAAGCCTCGCGCTTCCTGACGCGTCCGTTCCCTCCTGCTCTACCGTCTTCCGGGAGGAAAAGCCTCACGATTTAGCGGATACCTACTAGCTCTCTGAAGTCGCGTGAAAAGCTCGAGACCGTCCGGCTCCAGGATCAACACATCGGAGGATCGTGCGCAACGGAGATCGATCCGACTTCAGTCCGGAATATCCGTCGGAGAGCTTCATTGTTCGACACGGGTAGCTTCTGGGAACTTCCCACACCAAACACATTCTTCCGCGGGGAGTGAGCGCGAACCGACTAACGAGCGAGAAAGCCTTCCGAAACTGCGGCTGAAGCTGTCAGCTCGCTTCAAATGCATATTCGAGCTTGGGATGTGGGCTCAAATATCTGCCTGAAGAAGGCCAGTAGCAAGGCGAGAAGAACAGGGATGATGACAACGTTTCAGACGGACTCGCTGAGTGATTGATCGATTGTAATGGTATAGACTCGAAACACCTTGAGGAAACAAGGCTCGAGAGACTTTCCTGTTACAAACTTTCCATGAATACCACCGCTCGTTTCAGGTGTACCTAAGCGAACCAGTCTCGAAGATCCTCGTAGAGTGACGAGACGACACGGTTTCTCGACAAAGCCAGAAAGTCGAATTTGTAACAGAGTAGCCGCGAGATTTCGCGAAGCAGATACCGTCGTCAAATTTCGACATCAGCTGAGAATGCATTATCATTCATTATTTCATAAAATCTCGACCGGCAAATACACGATACAGCAGGCCGATCGCTAAATCTCGACATCTCGGCGACGAGCGACATCTTGAATTCTGTCGTAAGAGAGTAGCCTGACCTCGACCGTTCCTGTGTGCTCTCCGGGTAAGTCAAGGAAAGCGAGAATTCGAGCTTGAATCGTCCGCCTTCCAAAGTCCACTCTGCAGGGGGCTCAGCAAGCCAGCGAGCGGATTGACCGACGACGTCCGAAACGGAGGCATCACCGCGCGTCATGTTTCGAGATCGATACTGATGTATCGTTCCATTGCGCTTTTGCGCAGGTCGTGACCGTAAAAGCGATCTGCGTCTTGTTTCTGTGCGTCACTTTCGAGGGAAATTGTCGCACTCGCCTCGGAACACTGCGGCCGTCGTCGCATGGATCACTAATCATCCTCAGAATTCCTCCGACGTTTTTCGAAACTGATGTTGTGGCATGCAACGATCATCATCGGAGCTGCATGTCTGACAAGGATTAATTGTTTCCCGATCTGACGCACGAGGCATTCCAGAACGGCAAGGAAAGAAAATGAACCTCGGACGATACTCCATGCTCAGGAACAACTCGTTGAATTATAGATGCGAACCTCGTCGAAGAGATGAATCGGGAAGGTGTAGGTCGCACCATTTCCATTGAGTCGTTCCTGATTAGTGGTTCTCATCGAACGAGTTTGGGTATGCGGCTTCTACGAGAGATCATCGCTCATAGACCCGTGTTGGTGCGATGCGTCATTATTAATTGATACAACGAGATTTCCATCATCACAAGCGGGGCTCGGTCGGCAAATTGCTCAGAAATCGATTCATCAGTGTACCGCGAGAGAACGATCCTCGGATCCGGTTTCGCGACTTCGCACTGTCGACGACGTCAAGCTTGATTGACAATTGGAGTGAGCGAACGCCTGCGTGTCACCCACGGTTTAATCTCTGCGAGGAGAGAGCATTTATTTCTCGATGCAATCCGATGCTGAAGATTAGTGTAATTGATAGGCCCGAAGCCAGAATACATATGGGGGTAGCGAAAATGGATCACGCTCACTTCGAGAGGGCCTCGAGGAAATCTGAAGGTATGATTCACTCTGGATACTGCTAGTGACTCGTCATTAAATAGACGGCGTCAGATGTATAGATAGGAGAGCTCGACTCATCGCATCTCCAGAGTTGCACTCGCGTCTCACGCTAGGGAGTGTGCTGAAGGGCTTCTAGATGATCAATGGCCGCGCTCAGAACTTGAATGAGGTCGAGGCGGTCATGTCGATACAGCTTCCAGCATCCAGGTGAACGAGGGATTCTCTAACCGGCCTCTCGCGCGCCTAGGCAATGATATTCGTTTGCAAGCGAAGAAAATTCGAGTTGAGAATTATTTCCCCCGCGCGGAATCAATCAAGACTCAGAGCACGTCGATTCAGCGGGAGGGAGTTGAGAGACGACACTCATCACGACAAGATTACTAAATACCTAATTAAGAGAGCCATTACTTTCCAAAACCGCTGCATCCCGGAGGCAGCCGATCACCGGAGATCCGAAAGCGTGAAACAGACGGATAATGCCGTCTTTTTGGGTTGCCGCCGCCGTTCGGGGCGGCGAACAGTTATTCGATAACAGTCGCGAATTCTTGTTGCTCTTGTTTCGTTACATCTATTCCGTCATTTTCTGGTGCTGGCGATTTTTACGGCTGTCATGCGA